TGTAAATGCATGCCTCTAATATGAATGTGATAGTTAACCTTATGTGTCATCTTGCATTATGTGTCATATAACCTTATGTGTTATGTAAGTATTATATGTATATTTATGTTTATATACATGGCTTAGTGAGCATGAAACCAAGTGAATGGTGAAAGGTTGGTGAAATTCAAAGGGAGAGAAGCACTAGTGGATTGATCCATCATCCATCGTAGAGAAGTTACTTTTGTGTTTGTCTGCACTTCTGGGAAATGAAACTATAAATGACCTGCAAATGCTTTTCTACTGAGCTAAATACACAGCCCTGGAGAAGCAACTTCATATTCAGACTGTACACCAGGATCCACTGGTATTCATTGTATTCATGCATTATAATTTTTGAGGAAATGTTTCCATTTCATTTATTGAGGAATTCACTTGCATTTTGTTGTTGCTAACAATTTATTGAAGAATTCATTGTTGTTCTTATAGCTTTGTAGCAAAACTGAATCAAGGATATAAATAACGTATTGGTTCAGTTTCTAGAGAGAACCCTAACAATCAAGAAATTGGTAATTGAATTGTGGGGACTTAAAATAACAGTTAACTAAGTGTTGGTGATATACTACTCTATTTTCTACTTATAGATAAAATGTGGATTCAATTTGCAAATCAATGTCTCCTCTTGGCGTGCATTAGCAACTTCGTCATGCAAGAGGAGGCTCCATTCCCACTGCTCTTTAGGCCAGCTGGTTAAAGAAGCGGTGACATTCTGGTTGACACAGCTGACACCCATATCATGTACAACACTAAATACTGGCCCTGTGAAGAAGGAGAGACAAGAAGAGCATGTCAATGAATGATTACAACACTTGATCAGCCGAGAAGGACTCTCAGGAGGCCTGTTGTCATTCTCTGGTATTAATGCTGCTGTCAGAGTCAAACCAAGAAAAAAACAAAAAGGTTTCTATAAACATGCCCCCCCACCCCCACCCCATGGAAACTTGCTGGCTTGAGAACCCACCTGGGAAGAGCTGGGCTTCTGGTGTTGAGTTGTGAGCTCTGTGTAACCAAAGCTGATGCTGTAGCCTCGCTCACTGAGTCCTGGGAGGAAGGGGATTTTGTTTTTTTAAATATGCTTTGTTCCTCGATAGTGCTGTATTTCTGGAGCTATTTAACAATAGCAATCCTATTTGTTGAAGTACTGAAAAGCACATCAGTCAGTAGAAATATGTGCCAGACAAAAAGCAGAAATAAAGCTTGTCTGGCTTGTGTTGCTTCTCTAAATTGAGCATGGCTGGAAGAAGGAAAAGTGAGAAGAGAAAACTGGCAATGAGTATCTTAAGCCAAGGAATTGGAACCTTGATCCAGGGGCAGTGGGAGCTACTGAAGGGCTCTCTCTACAGAGGCACAGGATCCTTTTGGACGCCTACTGATATCTGCCTTTTCCATCTTTTGTGATGGAACATTCCCTAAGGCAGTGTGTCATGGTTTGCATGTGAGGTGTCCAAAAAAGCTCATTTGTGAGACAATGCAAGAAGGCTTAGAGGACAAATGATTGGGTTATGAGAGACTTATCCCAACCAGTGAAATAACCACCTGATGGGATTGAGTGGTAAACAAAAGTGGGTAGGATGTGCTGGAGGAGGTGGGCATGGGGAGGCATGCCATTGGAGTATATTTTGTATCTGATGAGTGCAGTCTTTCTCTGCTTCCTGATCATAATGTGAGCCCCTTCCCTCCACCACACTCTTCCACCTTGATGTTCAGCCTCACCTCCAGCCCAGAGGGATGGAGCAAGCTATCTGTGAACTGGGCTTTCCAAAACTGTGTGCCCCAAATAAACTTTTCCTCCTCTAAAATTGTTCGTGTCAGATCACAGCAGCAAGAAGTTGACTAAAACACAATGCTTCTCCAACCTGAATGTGCATAGAAATCAACTAGCATCTTAGTGAACTGATGATGGTGGTAATGATGATGATGGTGGTAGTGGTGGTGGTAATGAGGAGAAGCAGGATCATAAGCTGGTAATGAAAAACTGAGGTCAGGAGAAGATGGGAGGAGAAGAAAAAGGAGGAAGAGACTGCAATGGTGGTTGGTGCACGTCCTAATGTAGTAGATCTGAGGAGGGGCTCTGAGTGCTGCAACAAACTCCTAAATGGTGCCAGGGCTACTAAGCCACAGACTGTGCTTTGAGTAGCAAGGTCTTAGGCAGAACCACTGTGAGCATCCACCATTCACTTTTCAAGAGCCTTCAGGAAGACAAGGAAGCAGCTGGAAGGCATGTGCAAAGCTCTCTTCCATCCTCAGCTGTGTGTTTTCTGGGGGTGACCTAATTGCCTGGGGAAGAGAACAATGTGGCAATGTCATTTACCATTTCTTCTGATATGGTATTTTTCTTGTGAACACTTCTTTTTTTTCTGACTCATCCCTCAGATTCTGTCTGCACTTCCAGTTCAGAACTTTCTGTCTGTCTTACAATCTGTGTGCTCAGTTACCAAATGGGCTTTGAAATTCCTTTTTCCTGAGGGTGACATCAAAACCAAAACATTAGCTTTTCCAGTCAGGACCACGTGCCTTGATTTGAATAGATTAGGGATGTGGAGAGAGGTTGCAGATAAATAAAACAGATTCTTGTAAATTGGTGCTGCAGAGAGGAAAATACAGGACTCCTCTAGCCTTTGATTTGGCTAATACACACACACACTCTCACACGTTGTGTAGAATAAATGATCATAAATGTAAAGTATTTTGCATAATCTTCAGAAAACAATATATAGTAGCTATTATCAAAGCACATACTTTATAGAGATGTTGTGAAGAGTCCAGTAAAGAAACATATACAGAGCACTTAGTATAGTTTGTGACTCACAGTAGATGCGGAACACACTATGGCTTTCATGAAGGTGGTAGATGATGATGATGACGATGATGATGGTGGTGGTGGTGGGGGAGGGGTAAGGAGAAGCAGGAGTATAAGATGTTAATGAAAAGAGGAGGACAGGAGAAGATTGGAGCAGAAAAAAGAGGAAGAGATGGAGGTGGTGGTTGGTGCAGAGTTGAGGTGAGGAGGAATATAAAACTTGACTTAAACAGGATTAGTAATAATGGTGTCCTGATACATGTTTAATAACTGGCACTCAGCATACAACTGGGTAAAGGGTAGAAAAGATTGGTTCCAAAGTGTGAAAAAACATAACAGAAACCCCAAGCTTTGGGAATTCTCCTTTCATTCCTTTCAACAGTAATGACAGTTATTCTCCTATTAATACTGAGTGTATCCTTATGGTGGCAATGAAAATTTTTATTTTATATATATTTTACCTCAATAAAGTATGTTTAGTTTTAAAATAACATTAATAAAAAATGATGAGCTTGAAATAAATTCTTTATTTTAATTAATAAACAAATAAAAAAGACTGACCGTATCCTTCTGATAACCTTGGTTGGAGTTAAGCTAGAAACAAAAAGTCAAGGGGCTGGAGCTGTAGCTCAGTGGTCGAGTGCTTACGTAATATGTGAGACACTGGGTTCAATCCTCAGCACCACATAAAAATAAATTTAAAAAAGTAAAGGTGTTGTATCCATCTACAACTAAAAAAAAATTTATTAAAAAAAGAAGTCAAACCACTGTATTTTAAATGTTTTCCTTCAAGATCCCCTCCATCACCGTCAGTTTCTAGTCAGTCTTCTCTTGTTTTCTTGTCCATCATCAGAGGTCCTGAGAGCATGGCCTCACCAAGGGTCTCTGGGACCCAACTTCTATCTGGCCACCTTTGCTGAGGTCACCCTGGTGTGCAGGCAGCCGGCCCATGGCCAGTTTCTCCTGGCAGAGTCACTAACTCTTAGCCTGTGTTCCTTCCACTCTTCAGGAAGTCAGTAACTTCCCCCTAGC